TTGCCTAAATGTAATTGAGTTTAGGATTCCTTTCTTTTTGCAGCAGCCTCTCCTCTGTTTGTTCTAGGAGCTTGGCTTCTGGGAGCCAGGAGGCAGGTTTGTCCACGCTGGCACTGTGGCACTGCAGTGGCAGGAGCAGCAGATGTCTGGGTCACTCTGTGTCCAGTGTCCATTCCCCAGGAGCGTGTCCATGCCCCAGACACACACGGGGTGCTCAGCAAGGAGCAGCTGAGTGCACAGAGCCACGCTGGTTCCACCGTGTGGACAGCTCCAGCAGGCCACGGTGTTTCAGAAACACCAGAAAAGCTCTTTGGGTTTAGTATTTCCCTGCATTTTTAATAAATGTGCTGTGAAAACCAAGTCCTGCAGGTGCTTATGCATAGGATTGACCTGTGCACCCACATGTAATCCTGGACTGGGACTCTCTGTGTCCTCCTTCCATGTCCTCTCCCCTCCCCAGCACATCCCATCTCCCCTCATCCCCAGTCATTTGGTGCTGACTGGCAAACCAGTGCTTTGAACCAAAGGTAGGAATGCAGGAGTCCTGCAGCCAGACTTCTCTGAAATGTCTCCTAGTATTCCTCTGCCCAGTTTGGCAGCTTTATAGTCTGATTTTTAATGGCTCTGAAAATCTTTGGGTGAGTGCCCTAAGTTGTGGTGCTGGTGTTCATTTTGGTGTCTCCCGCTGGCTCAGAGTGCTTTTGTTAGCGAGTGGTTCTGGACTCTCATTTCCACTTCCAGGCCCAGCTGCATATGGATATCCTGAGCACCAGGGGTGTGCAAGCTGGCTGGGGCAGGCAATTCCACTCCTTTGTTTACAGTATCAGTTGAGATCAAATGGGAGAAATTAATGTGATAAAGCTAAACAGAAAAAGAGAAGGTGTAGATGTTCCAATATGGACTGTGGAGCTGGGCAGAGTTTATAGCTATCTACATGAAGTGGGTGCTCTGGGCTTTTTTCATGCTCTTTGAACGAGACTTCCAAACTTCTATGTTTGATTTTTTGGGTTTTCCCCACTCTTTCTTCACCATTTAGGTCAGTTGACATCCAGTCTTTCCAACAGAGCTGGTAGGCAAAGCTGTGTTTGCAGGCATTGTTTTGCTCCTGCACCTCCTGTGTGGTGGGTGCCTGCCTTTGACTGATGGGCAGATCAGAGGAAGGCAGAAGAAGCTCCCTGTTGTCCTCAGTGAAAGGTGTACTCCAAGGGATGAACAGGTTTCAGCAGCCTGAAGCAAAGGCCTGGGAGCCCCTGGTGCCATAGCCACTGACATGTTTTCAATGCACTTTTTGAGAAACAGATGTGTCAATTGCTGCAAAAGGAGTTCATTGTCAGAGATAATGAGAATTGCAAGTACGTGAGAGATCCTAGTTAGGAAGAAAATCAATGGTGAAACAATGTTTCAATCTATAGTCTCAGTAAGTCATTTACTTTTGAAATCTAATTCTGCTCAGAGGTGAAACCATTTCCATTCAGGTTTTGTTGAATCACGGTATTAGAGTCGTAAGTCAGTGTTGGGAAGGTTTTCTTTTGTTTGTGTAAGAAGCCCTTCCAATAACTCCTCAAACTCCTCACAGCTGTTTTCTTTGTGTCTGATTTTAAAAAATGGAATTTTTTATAAGATACATTTGAATTTTGCAATCGGTAAGAGGCTCCTCTTTAGCATAGAATATACACATTGCGGATTATTTAGCTGGAAGCCAATTTTTCTTTTGAGCATATATTTTATGAATAACTTACTAGTATCACTTATTCTTATTGAAGATATACTGCTGTAAATAATGTGATGACTTGTATGACTTGTACCTCTGTAGGAGTTTTGCAAAGACTAACACCATGAGACATTAAACCTCTCCCTAAAATACATGAAAATAAAGAAATAACATAAAATTTTTTCTTTGAGAAACAGAGACAGAGAAAAAAAAATAAAGACAGCTGGGTGAAACATGTTTCTGTTGATTTGAGAATTCATGTTTTATTTTGTCTAGCGATCAATATGCATTTTTTTATTTTTAGAAAATAAAAATACATCATCTGATTTCCAGTTTGAACAAACAGAAGACCTATGTTTCCATATTCCACACGGTTTCATGTTGCACTCCAATTTTAATTTTGCGTTCATGTGTCCTGTTTTCGATACAAACTTCAGTGTTGAAATCCACTGCTTTTGTAAATTTTTCTTTTAAAAAGAGAAAGATGCTAATTTCAGTTCAGATGTGTAAAGCAACAGCCGTGACTCGGTGGCTGCTCCTGCTGAAGGAAGAAGCATGGTAGCTTCTGGAATGGCAGCGTCAGACCCTGGGTAGTTGTCTCTGCAGTGGCCCTGTGCTGGACTGCTGGGCAGGCTCATCTTCAACAGCACATGGTGCTCTCCCATTCACTGTACCTCTGTTTAATTTGTCTCATCTGTGGCACAGACTGCTCTGAAGAACTCGAGCTTCAGATGAAAATGTAGTTCCCAGGCAGAAAGGAACTGCAGTAAAAGTAGTTGTACTACTAGTTTGTCCTATGATTAATAGCAAGACTTGCTTAGAAGTTAGTCTTTGATTTCCTCTGTTTAATTGTAGCCCTAAGTGAAATGGGTTTTTGATTTATAGAAAATGCAAAATTAGGTACAGAAAGTTTTAAATTACAGTAACAGTAAAAAATTTCCCACAATAATCATCCCATATTGTTTCAATTCAAAAGAGCTAGGGCTTGATTTGTGTGGGAAAGAATCCATAGCAGCCAAGTTCCACATTTGAAACTGGGGAGAGGGGAGGATCAATTACCCTCTTTTGAGAGTATAAAAATATGCCTGAATTTCACTATGTAATGCTTTTATCATATATTCCTTCTTTGGAAGGGTGTGTGTTGATTAATTAATTTAGAATAGCTCTTTTCTTGCATGGATACCCTGTAAAAGCAAGTAGAAAAATTGTGTTCAAACATACAAGAACATCAGTTAAAAAAGCAAAAGCTTTAGGTACAGCAATGGCTTGTAATCATGATGGAAAACTGATGTATTCTGTTTTATAATATTTGCATTATGCAGATTGGCTCAATAAACTGTGACAGCTCTAACATAGTTCAATGACAGTAGCTTTAATAATAGTATTTTAATTCCTAAGGTACTTTTTGGAAGTTCTGCATGGCTGATCTCGCTTTTGCTGGACCATATTTGTGTTGACTTTTTCTTTCATTAGGCCGCAATGCCTATGTGTGTTTGCATCACTAATCCTAGATGTTGAGGTTCTGGATAGTTAAGATACATTCAGTAACATTGAAGCTATTCTGGAGTAAATGACTTTGCTTTAACAGATGAGACCAGATTCTGCTCAGTTTACAGGGATGAATGCTGAAGAACACTGATCTGACCCATGCAAGTTTGCATGCGAGTTGCTGAGAATAGGAGTTTTCGCCTTTTTTTTTTTTTGTTTACACAACACAGTTTAAAATAATTCTGAAAATAATAATGCAGTTGTTATTCTGTTGGCCAGTTTGGTGGTTTTTAAAATCCTGCTTCACAGTCTCCCCTCACATACAGTTTTATTTGGAGCACACTGAGTTTACAGTTTGAATGTAAAGTGCTGCTTCTATTCCATTTGATTTGGCATGACTAAGATGTAAAATCTAAACATAAAGCATGGTATTGATCCATTTATAAGCATTTTCAAATTGTACTGCACTTCTTGGATAATTTATTGTTGTAGGATTTTAAAGTCAGGTGAGCTCTGCATTTGTGCTATAGCCTGACAGTTTAATCAAGATACAAATTTAGAAACAAATCAGCACTGTCTTTTATATAGTGCCTCTAAATCCACGGTAATTTGTACCAGACCTCGGTAACAGGAAAGGATCGCCGTTTCATGCTACCAATACCAGTGGGTGTTGCTCCCCAGCTGCATCTTATAAGGGAAGATGCAAGAGAAATTAAAGGATCCCCACATGCATTTTTCTGTAATGTACCTTTTGCAGAGTACGAGGCTGATGGAAAATTCCCTTGAATTCAGTGTGTGAGCTGGCTGTAAATAGTGCCATATGTTCTGCACGCTTTAACTCCTACCTTTTGAGAGCACTGGGCAGTTTTCAAGTCAGCTTTCTTTACTTTGTAGTTTTGGAACGTTTTAAAAAACGTAAGCATCTGTGCTCTGCAAACTCAGAGCAGGGAGGGGAGAGCTCAAGTGCTGCTGGTGCCTACCCTGGCTGCCTCGGGACTCTCCCAGAGGCCTGTTTCGGGGAGCTCTGCTGTGCCAGGACGTCCCTTGCAGCATGAGCTCGTCCCTGCACGCTCAGCTCCAGCGTATCCGAGCTATAGGCTGAGGCTGTGTGCACTGGCAGCACAGATGGAGTGTGCTCTCATTAGGACTGTTTGTTGCCTGTTGGAACACACAGCATATTTCTACCGTGGCATCAACAGTTTCTAAGAACTGAGGTCAAAATAAACAGGTTGCAGTTGGATTCAGGAACAGTCTGGGAAACAACTTAAAATTCCCTGCTTCGGCGTAACCATATTCCTAGATAGGTGGGTAAAAAGGCCTTCTCAAAGCAAGGGCTCATCTGAATTGATGCTTAGTGTATGCAGACTCCAGTGTGGAGTTGCAGAGGCACGGCCAGTAAATTTTCTACAGATATTGGCACAGATATTGGCAAAATTTATCTTATTTTAAATAAATGAGCAAATTTAAGCCCAGCACTCCTGCGCTGTTTCTCCTGGTCTTTGTAGTGCTTGAGCAAAGTGAAAGTGATGTCCCTGTGCCCGTGTGGAAGGTGCCTGCTCTCACCAGGCCTCAGCCTCCGGTGCAGGCGCGAATGTTGCCAAAGGCCCTGGCGTGTGCGGGCTCTGCAGGAGCAGGGCTGGGGCTCTGGCAAGCCTCCTGGAAGCTGCTTGGAGTCGCTACTGCCCCAAACTCCCCACTCCACCCCACCCTTTCCCTGGGGATTAGTGCTTCCTCAGCAGAACCAGCACCTGAGCTGCCTCATTGCAAACCCGCAGGTCCTGCTCCGGCCCTTGGAGGGGCACCGCTCTCTGCGGAGCTGCTGCAGCACGCCCGAGGTCTGAGCCCGTGGATTCAGCGCGGATTCAGCAGCCAGGTGCAGCAGAGCACTAGGAAAAGGGAGTAGTGCGGTGTGTGACGGCGAGATTCACCAGTGCCTCTTCCACAGCTGGTAAGTATTCACAGGATCAGCCCATGCACACACTCACGGTCCGGGTCACAGCCTGGCCCCACAGGCATGAGTGAGATTTAGCCAGCGATATCAGTGAATGCAGGGTTTAATTTGTAGCCTGCAAAATTTTATGAAACAGGACAAATACTTGTGATGATTTTGGCTTGAGCAAAGGTGTAAATAGATTTGCTTCCTGACAGAATCAGGAACAGTCACCTATAAGGGTTTGTTCATATTAACCTGGTCACAGTTCATGTGCAGCCAGAGGAACTATCCTGTTTGTTGAGCTGCAAACACACAAAGGTGCAGCAATCTGCTAGATTTTAGAAAATGTTTTCATGGGTTTAGTTAGAAAATGTTCTCATGGGATTTGGGGGTTTTTGGGCAGGGAGGGTTAAATCTAACTCTAGTTTCGGTGGTTAAAATTTAAAAAAATGTAATTTTTTTCATTTTCAGAAATGAAACATTATTGAGCTGTATGGTATGCATAACAGTAAATGGCTAATACAGATATGTGTAGTGGAGTAGTGAAAAGATGTGTCATAATAATTACAAAAATTTTGAGGACTGATATGGAAAGATGTGGTAATTCTCTAAAAGAAAGGGTAAAAAAGAAAGCCTTCCTATATTCTTTGCTGCTACCAGTTTACTGTTGTCACCATTCTTAATTCCCATGGCACAAGGCATTCAGTGGTCTGTATTACAGCCACATAATAATATTATCATCCCTGACTTTTCTACAGTGACAGGGAAGCAGCACTCCTAGAGTACCATGTTTATAGGATGATCTTACTGTCTCCACGAGGTTTTCTTGGTTCTTGCTGCTGTTCTCCATATGCTTCTACACACAGTTTGTGTGTAACAATGTGCCTTTCCATCCTTGACCCTGGCAGGTCTTGTGCAGCCTCATTCATCCTGACCCACCACCTCTTCCCTGCTCACAGACAGCTGCTGAGTCTCAAGCTCTTCACTGACTGTGAATGCAGTTGGGAACACTCTCCTCCCCCCCACTTTTAAGTTGGCTCTCAAAGCCCATCGCAGATGGTCTGTACCTCATACATAATAAAGATTTTTTTTTTTTCTTCTGAGGCGGGTTTGTGTGAATGTGAGAGGCAGACAGTCTGGCAAGCTTAGACCTGTGTTTTTATATTTTTTTCTAAGTGAGCCTTGAGGGATTTGTTTGCCATAATTTGAAACCCCTTAATAGCTTATGGAGCTCAGTAATATCTTGGTTCCAGAGGCTGGAACCTGATTTGTCCATTTGATATTTTCTAAGGGGAAGTTATACACATTGGCAAAATGGAGTTAGGGCCCAGCTGGACAAGACAAAGAAATTAAACAGAAGCATTCCAGGAACTAAAGCAGTTGCTTTAGGCAGGTGGTCTTCTAATAACAGTATGGTAGGTTTGTGCTAACTGTGTGTGTGAGTTGCTTTGGAGTCACCTGTTATAGCTGTGTATTTCAAACTACTTGTAATACTTGTTTCAGTGAGTTCCCTCTGTCCTATTTTCAGACTTGAGCAGTAAAGTCTGTGTACCAAAATGTCCCCAGGACCTCGTGTAAGAGCCTAAGGAGCATTTTCAAATGTCAGATAATTTGGGTTCTAGGTAGCTCAACACTGCTGCTTCTTAGTTCCCTAGTGTATGGTTGTATTGGTGGTGTTATGCTCAGCATTCCAGTAGCCATAAAAACAGGTCCATGTGTGGAAATCTTCTTCATGGGCCAGGCTGCCAGTTTGTTCTGGGTTTCTGTTCTGCATGGAAGCTGCCATAGGCTCTTCTTGATCTCTGCACTATGCTTTGGGAGCTGAAAATGTAGAACATGTGCAGGAGGAAATTAATGGAAATACATTTATACCTGCAATTTCAGCAGTGGTTTTGACCTCAGTGAGAAAAGATATGTCAAGGTGAGATACGGAATTGTATGTTTTAAAAGATAAGGGAAAAATGTCCTAAACTAAATTGGATTTTGTTCATGATGAGGAAAAAATTAACAGATATTTCACTCCTCTGTTGTGCATGTTAAATGCTCCGTGTGTGTGTGTGTGTGTTGTTACTCATTCTATAGAACAATAAAGCCCAAAACCAGCCTGTGAGCTGTAGAATATTTGCTGAAATATTTTGGAGTTCAATTGTCTGAAGCTCTTGGCTCTTGGCGGGAAAAAGTCCCACAAGTGTCAGACAAGACACTTTTCCAGGGCCTGAAGGGTGTCAAGAGTAAGGGTCTCTGAGAAATGAAGAGAGCAAATAAAATTTTTTGAGAAGAGATGAGCTCCAGAGAACATTCCAGTTAGGCAGCAGGGGTCAGCAGCACAGGGCAGTCCTAGGCTCATCCTTCAGAGTGGAAGGACCTTGGGAGCCTCTAGTCCAGCCTCCTGCTCAAAGCTTGGCCAGCTGAGACCAGGTGGTTCAAGGTTTTGTTCAGTTAGGTCATGAAAGCCTCTGGGTATGGAGATTGCACACCCTCTCTGTGCAGCCCCTTCCACTGCTTGACTGACTTCATGGCAGAACGGTTTTCCATTGTTTCTAACCTGAACCTTTTGTATTTCAAATTCTGTCTGTTGTCCCTTTTCTCCCACCACACCCCACTGTGAATAACCTGGCTCTGGCTTCTCCTAGCCTCCTGTTGGGTGTGGAGGGACTGTCACCAAAGCCTGCTCAGGTCCCTTAGCCCCTTCTCATGGTGCTGATGGTCATCGTGGCGGTTCCTGTCGCTCTGCCTATACTGCAGCATTGCTCAGCAGGCTGAGGAGTGCACAGGAGCCTCTCAGGACAGTGCTGGGGCTGACCCGTGCTGTCCCATGGGATGCTGGCACCAGGACAGGCAGAGTGGCTCCCTGTGAGCCACATCACTCTTGTCCAGCCCCTTTAAGAGGTGTGGGTGTTTCTGCTGACCATCTGCTGGAGCTGATGCTGTTGGCTGGCCTTGGCCTTCACAGCAGATTCCTGGGTTAATAGTGTGGCTTTACTAATTTCAGGTATTAATATAGAAAAATATTAGCTTGGATTTGAAAATCATGCCGTAGTTTAAATGCTAGAAGATATTAGAGCACTGTAGAGTTTCTTTGCAGAGTGGTTTTTGAGCTGCTGAGATACAGGTTTTAAGCATAAAACACGACAGTTAGATATACTTAGTCTTAAAAATTGTTAGGTGTCATGTAATTGCATAACTGCAGAACCCAAGGCTTTAAGAACAATACTGAGTATCATGAAATTGTGATTTGATTTTAAAATAAAGCAACATCTATAGGATCAAGAGTCTGCTGCTTTTGTAAAGCAAATGTTCATCTAAGAGGGGTTTTTTCAAATAGTGAACCACATCTGTAAAGTTCTGAAATGATAGCTGCTATTATGTGCTCATCTGCTTAGCACAGTAATTAAAGTATACATTAATGCTGTGAGACACGTGTTTAGAAGTATGGATTGAAATTAATCACCCTGCCCCTACAGAAATTGCGTGATGAGTCCAACAGCATATGTGTTGCTATAGAAAGCTGTGAGTTAGTGGATTGTACATGGGTACAGTTACATTTAGTATTTCATAAGTTTTATTAAATATAAATACAAAAATGCATTCAATTTTATTAAAGCTACCGAGTGGTGTTTTTTGCATATTTTTCCAGTGTGGGACAAGCATTTTTACAGGTAAAACTTGCACTGTAATAACCACTAAAGATGCAATTGTCAAGCTGCTCAAAGTGTCTTTGAGGTGTCTGCAAGCATTGTGTGAGCAGGGCAGGAGGAATTCCTGCCTCTGTGAGGTGTGGCTCACCCAGGGCCAGCCTGACGCATCCGCAGCAGGTCCCTCGTGGAGCACCAGGTGCAGGATGGGCTTGTGCCAAGCTGAGCTGTGTGGAGGAGGCCCTTGGCTGCTGAGAGAGAGTGAAAATTCTGCATCCACTGATGAGTTTTATCTTAGATTTAAGCTTGCAGTGTTAATTCCACCTCCAGCTTCCTGGACATAGTTGTCCTGAGGAAGTCTCCAGTGAGTTTACAGCCTGTGCAATTAACAAGTGAAGTGCCACCTCAGCCTCTACCATGGTTACTGTGCCTGCCAGAAAAACTTGGTGATAAATATTCCACAAGAGGCTTGAGAGGCAGTGATGTCAGCCCTACACTGGCCGATTCACCAGGTCAGGTTTGCCCTGTTACTTTACGGGCTACGTGAGGTAGAAGTGGAAGAGCAGGCGTGGGTCCTTCCCGCAGCGCTGAAATGCACGCGGTGTGCAGCTCAAAGCCCTGCTTCTGTCCTGCTGCCCAGTGCAGGGAACTGCTCTGCTTCCCCAGCCCGTGTGGGGAGCAGCTGGAGAGCTGCTGCTTTTCCTGGTGGCACAGGGCAGTGTCCCAGCAAAGAGCACCGCTCCGTGCAGTGCCATCGTGAAGCCCATGGATTGAGAGAGAGAAGCAGGCAGCAGCGGGTTGAGGACACAAAAAGAACAGAATCCTCGTCTGGGGGATTGTTTGAGATCCGCCGCCCTTGTGAACTTAAAATGTGTGCACAAAAAATGTCTTGTTCTTCCCTGCTTGCAACTCCAACATACAACCCAGTTTAAAAAATGGTTGTGTTTGCAAAACTCTGACTTCTGTACTCTCACTGGTCTACATACCTCTTTGTGTGTTCAGGATCTAAATGCAGTGTGCAGGCAGCCTTTCTCTTGCAGCTAATATTGATATCCTGCCCCAGAGTTACAAAAGCAGAGAAAAGAAAACCCTTTCAGACATTTACTGCTTCAGTTGATACATATTTGCCTGTTTTTGGGTGGTGAAAGTTGTTATTTTTATTATTTTTGCAGCACATCAGCCTGGATGTAGTCACCCTGTCAGGAGTGTAAAATTTACAGCAGAAATAATTTTAATGCTGGAAAAGCTCTTACTCATCTGAACCATCATTCAAAATGCACAGTGAAAGTCTCCAAGCAGAAGTTTTCCATCCCACTGTCTGCAGGACTCCTGCAGGTCTTCTGATGCTTAAGGTAAGATTAAAAATAAAAAGAACAAACAACTTAGTTGCAAAGTGGAATCTGGTGCAAAGCATGAAGGTATAATTCTAGAGCAGAGAGGATCCTCTTTGTGCAATGGAGCACATGGCATTGTTAGAAAATTTCAGTGCAATATTTGTTTAAATAATCAAAGCAGAAAGAACAATAAGCCCAAGTTTACTACCAGAATTAAATACATATAAATGTATATATGTATATGTAAAGAAATTGCTTAGTATTAAAAAATAAAAGGATGTATTACGTTTTCTTTATTCTTTTGAAAATATGTGTCAAAATACAGAAGTGTTTAACTATGAAAAATAAGTGGTAGTATAAGCAGGGAAAGTAGGAACCACTGAATAGGCCACTGTATTTTGTTTTGCTTAGCTCCTGAGAAATATCTGCAATATAGAAATAGCTGCAATGTAGAAATAGCTGCATAGTCTGTGTACAGGTTATGCCATTGATTGTACTTAGAGCTTTTGGTTTCTGTTTTGTAGTGGTGTCCACTGCATTTAGTGAATTAAACTCTTCCAGTATATTTCCTTATTTCTCTGTCAGTGTAGCACAGGCAGCTGGGGTGACATCAGGATCCCTTCTCCATGACTGTAGTCATAGGATTTTATGTAAAGAGCATTTTCCAGAGGCTATCAGTATGTTCTCTTACACATGACTTTTTTTTCTTTGGTTTCTTTTAGGTCATATATATAACTAAGACACATTCCAGAAACTTTGTTTTCTAAATGTGTGTTGGGCACAGTTGTTAATGTTGCAGGTGTTCACATTCAGGGCAATATAAAATGCTGCTTATGATAAATGAAAAATAATGGAATCCTCACTTTATAGCCCTAGGAGTTTGGCCTGGGCCTACAAACAGACATTATTTTTCATTTGTTTATAGACAGACAAGTTTATAATTAAGACAGTAATGGGCATAAGCATTCTTGCAGCCTTTGTAGCTCATCTTTCTTGTAAGCATCAAAGAGAATATTTGTGGTAGAACGCACAGTAATAAGTGTGGGGGAATCAACAGCTTGCAGATTCATTTATTTATTTATTGGAGCTGGTTATCCCCTATCCTCCCATCATCTGTGCCTCTGCAATAAAGGCAAAGCATGCCTATTTTCTCTCTTGCTATCACTCCAAATGCTGTAGATAAGAACGATAGCTGGACACAAGTACCACACTGTGCATCCCAGAACACCAGAGGTATTAATGAACACAGGCAAAGACTTGTGTAACCATTACATCAGTGTCCTATTTCTGAAAATGACTACTGTAAATTACCATTTGGCTGAGGAATCCATCGTGCTGATCTGGAGCCTGCATGGCCCAACTGTGGATTACATCAAGCACATGAAAAAGCTGCCCAGGAATCCTGGCACAGAATGATGTTATTTCGTTTTGCATAGGAAACCTGTGTGTTCATGCATACATGTGTATAAATATGTAAAGTGGTTTGGATTGCCTGTGTCTGAGGGCAGAGCCCTGTATGTGGCAGATCATTTATCTTCAGGGGTTGTACATCTTTTATGTCAGCTCTGAGGCAGCTGAGATGAGCTGAAATGTCAGTCTTGTGGGATCACTGGTGTGTGAGAGTTGCCACAACACAGTTTCTCTAAGAGCCCGTAGAGAGGCTATGATTTGATTCCTCTCACAGCTTGGTCCAAACCAGCTTGTGTTTATTGGCTATGAAGCCCATTTATGTCTGCATCACCTGGGAGCAGCAGTTTGGGGCTGTGTATCTGATGAAAAGGTACTTGGGGGTCAGGAGTTTTGAGGCCTTTAATAATTATCTAGAGGGATGACTTCTATTGAGGAAATGTTACCAGTTTGATGATTTTTGTCATGGTTTATGTCTTTAGTTAGTGCCAGCAGTGTTAAAAAGCTGAGATTTTTGTGTCCATGTATTTTACACTGAATTTAAAATACAAATATTTCATCATAAGAAACTTCTTTTTAAAAATGGAGAGAAAGAAAAAATACCAGTCTGGTTAAGAGGTGGTTGTTCTTGTTAAGAAAACAGTGAGTTATTACTGCTACCTCTGAAGTATCTAAGTCTAGTAATAGACATATCTCTTTAGGACTAGACCTCAGAATAAATTGCAACATCAGAAACGAAATTAAAACCTTCTAAAACTTGATCCTCATGTATTTTTAAGGAAGTGGTCTATTCCAAGAATTCTAGTGTATGAATTCTTGTTAAGATTAAAGTCTCTGGAGTTCATTTTTTGAGGAAGAAACCCATTTAACAATAAAATCAGTTAATGCCAAATGATATTGTCACAAATAATTAAAATAAATTTGTATTCAGAACATCATCAGTGTATACAATAAATAATAGCTGAGAGGAAAGGCTGACCCCACACTTGTTAAATTGCTTGAAAGTTAATTTCGATGTGTTCAGGTGAAGGAAGAGGTTTGGTTGTGTGGGATTTTTTTCCCCTCAGCTGCAGTTTTCTTTGTCATTCCGCAAGAAATGGAATAATTTGGGCTTGTCAGACCCACCTGAGAAAAGCAGATGCCCTTGTACACAAGTGATCTTCACTTAGCTGGTGAGCAATGAATACAGAGAATGGACAGTGCAGTTGCTCCAATATTAAATTGCTCTTGTGAGCCTTTCAAGCTGGATTTCTTTCCAGCCCACAGGAAATGACTGATAATCCTTTTTTCTTTTTTTTTTTCCCCAGAGAAGGAATGTGCTGCAGTAGAAATACAGTATGTAACATAAAGATTAATACATATCCTTAAGTTAGATAATTGCAAATGTGTTGACTTTCTCCAACTGAAATGAGAGTAGTGAAACAAGGGAAGTTAATTGTGGGAGAGCCTAGTTGCCTCTTACTGTCATTGTTTTCTGTTCCTTAGAATATTGCCAAACTTAAAATATTTGAAGTGAACTTTCAGTGCTGAGTATGTTACTCAGATTTGCTGCCATAGGCAAGTTCAGTCATAACAGTTCACTTTTCCTTTGGCATCTTTTAAATTTTGAGAACTTTGTGCTTTAGCTATAACCTTTTTCTTCTCTAAAGAAAATCTTCATTTGTGCAGTCAGCTGGCTGATTCAATCTCCAGCTGAAGAATGATCACGAGATGAGTGTATGTTCAGTCCTGTTTCTGATGGGTTTTAAAAAGCGCCGACAGCTTTAGTTAAACACAGCAGTGGTTTTCAGTATGTGGCTCTTTGTCTCTGTACAGGATTCCTGTGCAGGAGGTCCTGTGAGAAAAAAGCTCTATCAGACATTGGAAAGAAAAGAAATTTTATTTTAAGATTTTAAGGAACAAAAAGATCTCGCAAGAAATAGCATAAGGGGATGCTTAAATTCGCTGGGTAACCAGGAGAAAGGTAGAACAGGAGTAATGTTAATTTAGAGTATTTTGGGCAAGTCATGATCTTTCTCGAAGATTTTGGTATAAGTGATGTTCCTAATTTTTCTTAAATATAATATTTTTTTAAATTACCAAACAGGTTACCAAGTACTTTCATAGTCTTATAATATTATTTTTCAATTATTTTCCAATTTCAACTATTTCCAATAACTTGCTTGTATTAATAATCAGTTAAAGCAAATTTGTAAATAAACAATGAGTAGCATATGTGAATTCTTATCCCTGGAAGCTCCATATGCAACGGAAGCAAAATGTGAGATAGATATACATCAAATAAGTTGATATTCCTGTATTTAAAGCACCCAGAAGCATCATTTCTCTGTAGGTGATGAAATGAGATGGATGGGTTTCCCCACCTGCTTTACAAACCCGCTCTGGATAGAAGGGGGGTTTCTGGAAATGCCTCTGTCCTCATCAGGTATGGTGAGTGCCCACTCCTGGGCATCCCATGGCCAGCAGGTTGAAGCCCCAGGAGATATCCCACACACGCACATTGCTTGGAACTGGAACCAGTGCCTGTTAAACTGGCTGGGAAAAGGTGCTGCTTTTAACAGGAAAGTTTCAAGACACCTCTGGTCTTTAATTTTTCCTTTACATTGAACCACAGGATCACAGAACAATGAAATGGGTTGGGTTGGAAGGGATCCTAAAGCCCATCCAGTTCCACTCCCTGCCTTGGGCAGGGACACCTCCCACTATCCCAGGTTGTTCCAAGCCCTGTCCAACCTGGCCTTGGACACTTCCAGGGATGGGGCAGCCACAGCTTCTCTGGGTAACCTGTGCCAGGGCCTGACCACCCTCACAGGGAAGAATTTCTTCCCAATATCCCATCTAACCCTGCTCTCTGTCAGTGTGAAGCCATTCCCCCTTTTCCTGTCATTTCTATGTCTTCACATGGCCTGAGGTGGGGCTCAGTGGCTTTTAAGAAACCCAGTTCAGATGCTGAGTAAAACCCCACCAGTTCTGAGGTCATTGTCTCCCTTGTCTCACGGTTTCAAAGACTTCAGGCACTTCAGCCCAATGTGTCTCTCAGGGGATTGTAGCAATTCTTGAGACACATAGCAGGCTAGGAAAAGGTGGAATGCTAAAGGAAGGTATTGGAGCCCTTTTGCAAGTGTATCTGGTATTCTTTGATTAAACCTTGGCATGCGATACTCCAGATATAACTCTTATATTTTGCTGAAGGTTTTAAATTTTTTTTTTTTATGGGAAGGAACTGCTTCTGCTCTGTGAAAACTCCAGAGTGCACACTGTTGTTGAAAAGTAAGTTTTTAAGGACATGTTGTTTTCAGTGTAAATGTGGAGCTGCTGGTCACAGGCACACAGACTATCTGAAATTTGTAAGTTCATGCAGCACTACTACAAATACAGCTTATAGGATAGTAGTTTAAAGAAAGTACAGTGTATCTTTCTCCCACTTCCAGATATGGTTTAGCAGCCTGACATGATCAATCAATACCATGTGACCACTCAGCTGTGTTTGGAAGAGCTTCCCAAATCACAGGCAAGTTTAGGGCTCCTGAGCTGGTTGATGTAATCAGGACTTGCATCTATAAAACTGGTTTCGTACAGCCTGGATTCAAGAAATTACCTGGCCTCTCTGC